CCCTGAGCGATGGTCACCCCTCCCAGCAGCTTGTTGAGCTCCTCGTCGTTGCGCACGGCCAGCTGGAGGTGCCTGGGGATGATGCGAGTCTTCTTGTTGTCCCGGGCCGCGTTACCGGCCAGCTCGAGGATTTCAGCCGTCAGATACTCGAGCACCGCAGCCAGATAGACCGGCGCTCCGGCACCCACACGCTCAGCATAGTTACCCTTTCTCAGGAGCCTGTGAACACGGCCCACCGGGAACTGCAAGCCAGCCCGAGACGACCGGGACTTCGCCTTGGAGCGAGCTTTTCCACCAGCGCCCTTTCCTCTCCCAGACATTACCACAATCTCACATGCACTTTCACAGAGAATGATGCAACGCGCCCACATCCCGCCCTCTTATACCTTCGGGAGGAATGGGGGTGCGGCCATTGCTGAATGGTCATATTGTTCAGCACCACCGAATGTAGTTTCAATTCCCAATCAGATATCTGCTTCACTCACCAATCCGGAGAGGTCCCGGGGCGGAGGCCGGAAAATACCGGCGCCAAATCATCAACCGCTTTCTTTCTGATTTGAAAAGCCCGCCAAAATGTATAAAACAGTTTTACAAAGAATGCGTTCATACTTCAGATAATTTACTTTTAGAATACACCTTCATACTTCACACAATCTCTGTCTCGTTCCCTGGCCGAGTTGAATCTGTCTATTTCTGACCTTGCTGTTTTTATTTCCCTGAACCTTAAGAATAAGCGGAAGCAAAAAGAAAGAACCCGCTGAAAATTGATTTTAATTCACATCAGTACCCAGATATATCAATAAAAGTATCACACCACTATTTCTTTCTGGGTGAGCGCAGTACTGCTTTAAACAATATTTCACAATCACCCTCCCGATTGCACCAGATCAACAATATATTTCCACATTTGCGATGCCAGTACGTTTTCTTTCCGATTTGAAAAGCCCGCCAATATGGACAATACGAGGAAGACGTTTTACAAAGAATAGTGCATAAATGCTTACGATTTAATTTCCTTTCACATTACAAACGCGCACTTCACACAATCTCTCGTTCTCACTCCCTAAGCAACACCGTCTTCAGACAATTTTGTAAAGTGGCCCTCACTTATTGTGCTGTATCAGACTTTCCCGTGATCTCGGTTCATTTTGAAAGCCTCTCCGCCACAGCAGAAAGCCCCACATTCTGCATTCTGAAAAAAAAATCGGACAAATGCACATAGAGATTTGGAAATTTTAACAACCCAGAAATCGCACCGTCATTTTTTTTTTTCGTTGCCACGGGAGATATTCAGGCTTCATACCTCATCGGGACAAGTTTGAAAAACCTCCAGTTTTGCAAAGAGGAATGAATAATTTAATTTTTCTTTGAATTTAATTCACTTTCACATTACAAATGCACCCTGATATACTTATAAAACCACAAACAACGTTGTTCCGGGTGAGCGCGTTAAATCTTTAAACAACAGTTTGAAGTTGCCCTCCCTTCTTGTCCTTCATCAGACTTCAGCCACAGTTTCACACTTGGTATCGCAATCCGTCAGCTAATCTGGCTTTATCTCCGTTCATTTTGGAAGCCTCTCACCGACAGCTGAAAGCCTCATTTACAGTATTCTGCAAAAAATCAGACCAAGCCTCCATGGAGTTTTGAAAATTGAAAAAAATGGGGAGTAAACTGCAAAATCTATTCATGAGACTCGAAGTTAGTTTGGTTCCCCCGAGGGTGAAACTCAAGTATCATACCCCACGGGGCACTGCAGCTGCTGCCCTGATCAAGGATTAAAGAGTAACTGGAACATATAGAAGTTGCTGAAAAATGACTTTGGCGACAAATATCCAGGCAAAGTAAAGAGACTGGGTATGTCCGCAACCGAGAATAAAGGACAGAGAGTCAGGGACCACACGTTAATCTTTAGAACGTTTATAAAAAGGAACACAAAGCTTAGGGACATCAATTATACAGACCCAAAATCAATTACAAACTTAAAATGGTTCAGCTGCTTCAGTGAATTGTGGGTGGCCCTTAAAAGAGCCGTTGGGTTTTGGATGTGTGTTTTTGTCAACACACTGTGGTATCTCACTTGGAGCTGGTATACTTGGTCACCGCCTTTGTACCCTCCGACACGGCGTGCTTGGCCAGCTCCCCGGGCAGCAGCAGCCGCACGGCGGTCTGGATCTCCCGGGAGCTGATAGTGCTGCGCTTGTTGTAATGGGCCAGGCGGGAAGCCTCCCTCGCGATACGCTCGAAAATATCGTTGACGAACGAGTTCATGATGCTCATGGCCTTGGAGGAGATGCCGGTATCGGGGTGAACCTGCTTCATCACTTTGTAGATGTAGATGGAGTAACTTTCTTTCCTGGATCGTTTCCTTTTCTTGCTGCCTTTGCCTGGCGCCTTCTTGATGATTTTCTTCGCGCCCTTCTTGGAAGTTGGCTGCGCTTTCTTCTCATCAGCCATAGTGACGGTAACTTCCAGACACAGATTAAAAGAAAGCGGGCTCGGAGCTCGCTTTTTATAGCCTGATGGCGTCAGCAATGCTAATGAAGGATGGGGGAAAGCCTTGTTCCTGATTGGGTAGTTCACAAAAATGTCAATACATGACATTTAGTCTCTCTCCGAATGGTGAGTGTGGG